AGTTTAGGTTATTATTTATTTATTTAATAATTATATATATTTATATATATTATATTATATATACTCTAGATAATTAGATATATATTTAATTTTATATAGGGAAAAAAAAAACCGCTTAGAACCCCGGTTTGGCATCGGGACACGGTCTAGGTGTCAGGTCTAAGTTTGCCCCGATCCGACCAACCGACAAGTCGGTTTTTTGAATTTTTCGAACCGTAACCGAACCGTTTTTTTGGTTAACCGGTTTTTCGGTTCGGTTAGCGGTTCGGTTCGGTTTTTGCATTTTTTTGAACACCCCTACTTACCTCAATAGAAAAATATTATATAAATTTAATATAATGACTAAATTTTTTTTTTTTTTTGGTAACGTGGTGTCAAGGGCTCGGGCTAACTTCCTCGCACCTCAATTAATTTCTGGGTCCATTGTATACCTTACAAACCTAAAAGACTAAATAAACCATAATATTATTGTAGTAGATAACTCAAAGATTTGAACTTAAGAACTTAAGGAAGGAAGCACACATTCTTCATTGTTAGGCCAACTCCTTGGGGTTTATATAATGACTACTTTTGTCCTCAATTTCTTTATATAATCTAAATGTGTAAATAAAAAAAAAAAAATTTGCACTTTCATAAGAGGCTAACAGTTGGTAAGTGTATTGATTGAACTAAATAATTGGTGGGATATCATGAGAATTCTAGAGTGATGTAAACTTGTTGGGAACAATTCACTTCTTACAGGGACCTGTTAACCGAAGCTTAAGCTTATATGTCCTATTAATGGAATTAGAATCCTCTATTGATTTAAGTAGATTATCAGGTCTAATCTCTAATCTCAAATCAACAAATAATATTATAAATAAAATAGTTTTATGAATAAAGGTTATTAAAACTTAAATATTTAATAATTTTTTTCTCAAACTTGTAATTATATATATATAATCATTTAGATGTCATTTTTAGGAAAAAAAAAAAAAAGAAAAAAAAGAAAGAAAGAAAAGGCATAATATCAAGCCTAAAGTTAGGGGAGGATTTACCCCTATTTTCATTGTTCCATTAAATTATTAATTTATGCCTTCTTGTCAACTATTCCATTTGGGTTTTGTTGTTTAATTCAACTGATCAAGGGCAAAATGTGTTAATCAGATTTCGGAAATTTTAACAAAACAATAAGAATAAAAGATCAATTATTATTTGAAAAATACTTGAAGGGGAATTTTTTAAATTTATACATTTATTAGGTTTCGAAATATGAAATGCTTTTCATATTAAAGTAAATTTACGCTTCGGTAGTTTAATTATTTAACATATATCAGCGAAGGGATAAAGTTAAAACTCCAATAATTTAATTGTTTATCTAAAAAGTCTGACTTAAATCTTAATGAATGATTTTTTTTTTTTTTTTTTTTGCAGTGTTTTAAATCCCAACCTAGGGTGAGACCTGACAAACCGAGTTGGAGTCTCGAGTTGACCGGTTTGACCAACGAGTCAAACTGGTGTCCAAAGGTTTGAAATCCACACCGGTTTGAAAACTAACAAAAATACCTTTGAAAATTGTGTAAGTCCCTATAGGTTTGAAATCTTATAAAAACACCCCAAACACCACTGTTGATGTTTTCAAATAGGGTCTATTTCTAGCAATGACAACACTCCCCATCACTACTGAAAACACTCTCTTCAACCTCTTGACCAAAACCCATCTCACCTTTCCCCCGTTTGCCTCCCCAATTGTCGACAATAGCGGGCTTTTTCCGAAAACATAGTTTTGTGATTTTCGGTCAATTCACTCACCAGGAATCACCGTTGCCGCCACCAATGCACTCACTGGACATTTCTCTTCAAAAGTCCTAATATTTAGGCATGGCAATGGGGCGGGGCGAGACGGGGATCTCATTCACCGTACCCATCCCCACCCCCACCCTATCCCCGTTACGGGGATAACAAGAATTCCCCTTCCCCGCCCCAAAGGAGAATGTTGGAGGCCCATCACTCCTTCGTTAATTTTACATAAACATAAATTAATTTGAGCATTACCAAACACAATAGTTAATTCTCGTCCACATGACAAACACTTAAATTAATCATTTAAACATAGTTAATTTTACATAAATATGGGTATATATATAATTTTAATTTTATATATTATATATTATATATTATATCCAGGGTGGGGCAAGGCGGGTCGGGGCAGGGTAGGGGGAAGGCATCACCCACCCCCGCCCCATCCCCGAGGATGGGGATTAAAACGCCCCCCACCCCCGCCCCATATGGGACGAGTCCTCGGAATTCTGGGGAATATTGCCATGCCTACTAACATTCCAGCTTCAATTATTCACAGATTAATGTCCTAATTTCTAGGGTTTTCAATGAATAGAAAAATTTGTAATTAGACTTGGTGAAGGCTCCAGGTCCCAGTTAAACCGATTTGACCAACCGAGTTGGGTTAGGTTTTAAAACACTGTTTTTTTGAATAATTTTAAATACTATAAGGTAGGGGTGTTGAGACGAGCTCGAGCTCGAGTGGCTTAAGTGCCCATTCGAGGTGAGCCCAAGCCACCCAATATTGGCTTGAGAGGCCTGCGAGCCTCCACGAGCTCAAAAGGGCATAGATGCAAGGTTTTCAATTATGAGGGGGATATACATCATTTACCATTTTACATATAAACTATTTCAATTCAAGAAACCTTAACTTCTTATTCTTTATCTGCCTGCCACTTCTCCTTCTCTATTCTTCTTCCCTTTCTTTTTTCTTCTGCTTCTCTCTTTTTCTCCTTTTTCTCTATCTCTCCTCTTCGAGCCGGCTTACAAACTCCTTCTCTTTTCTTCTTCTTTTTCCTTCTTCTTTCTTCTCCTTCTCTTTCTCTCTAGTCTCTCCCTTCAAGCCGACTTTATTTTTGATTATATGAATGTTGATTGTTTTATCTTGATTTGTTTTTCATTATATTGAAGTTGTGAACAACTCAGGTTAAATGGTTGGAGTTTTGTGATTTGTGAATGTGTAGAATTAGTACTAGAGCTCGAACTTGAATAAGGCTAGACTGGTAAACAAGTCGAGGGTCGAGCTCGTATTTTTATAACGAATCGAGCTCAAGCCCGACAGTGTTCGGCTCGACTCAATTTGTTTGCACCCTTACTAGCCTGACAACATTTGACTCGGCTTAATTTGTTTGCACCCCTACTATAAGGGGCTCCTTGCATCAAAAAATTTCAAACCTTTTAAGCATCTTCAATAATAGAAAAACTTTTTGACAAATCACAATTATGCTATACCCCAAGCTTGTATAACATTATTCTTTAGTATTGCACACATATATCTTCAAAATAATGATATAATTCAGAATGTAAAACTTGGAATATCGGTGTAATTTAACATCAAATAAAAATGGTTGGATTTTAAGTTTATAAAGTCGGTTAAGCAAAGCCATCGTAAACAATAATATTATGATGATAGGTGATCCCAAGGTTTGAACCCAAAGGCCAAAGCTTAAGAAAAAGAGCAAACCTCCTTGACTGGTAGCACTGTTTTAAAAACCAACTTGTTGTAAGACCCGTCAAAGTAACCAGGTCGCGGGTCAACCGGTCCAATCAGTTGGACCGGTGAGATGAAATTGAAAGAATTTTTTGAGTCTATTTAATTGTGTTTTCTAGAATTTAAAAATGCAAATGGAGTAATGGACGTATAGCAAAATGGGCTTTTATTACAACTCATGGAGCCTTTATGTTTTGTTGGAAAATGAAGGCCCAATCCCAATTACACCTACACTTTCTATCATTTTAAATTATCAGATGATACGTGTACACTCATAATTGTTGGCATGTGAGAGGTAGGACAGACACTGCTTAACTCCAGCCATGTGTGGGTGAGGGCATCTATGAATACTCTAGAAAATCTCCAACACAACTCAAAAGATCTGTGATTGTGATGGAGACGAACAAAAAGAGAAGAGAGCAAGTGCAGAAGCAGAAGGTTGAGGAAGTTAAAAGAGATGTGTAGAAGAAGAACGATTTTGATACAAAAACAATGGGTGTTGGAGCAATGGTAAAGGAGCTGATTCGTGAATCCATAATTACTCAACATGATGATGACCGAGATGAGCAAACTCAACATCTTGCTGATGGATTGAGTGTCTACTCTACTGTCTAAGAGCGAAACGAAGCCGACGTTGTGCCATAGTCACGATTTCGTTAACGAATTCCAGGTCTTCAATTTCGATGAAGAAGATTGGATTTCGATGGAGGAAGTAAGTTGAAGAAGATAAGGAAGTAAGTGTAAACTTTACACTTTAGAGAAGATGAAAATGGAAGCTGCGGTTTGGAGATGAAAATGGAAGTTGCGACGACTGAAATGGCCTATGACAAATGAAACCGATGCAAGGAAATTAAGATTAGGTTTTTTTTAGGGCTCAATTAATGGACCAGAATAAGTTTTGGGCCGGTCGGACCGGACGGTAATGTAACACCGGTCCGATAATGTAACACCGGTCCAAAGCGACTCTTTTAATATTAACAGGTTTGATAATAATCCGGACCGGAGTGGAGTCCGGGTCTCAGTTAGACCGGTTGAACCGTCCGGTCCGGTTCGGGTTTTAAAACAGAGACCGTAGGCCAACCCGTTAGGGTTATCACCTAATATATTAGTCTTTTCTAATCTTTTAGGTAAACTGACAAACCACCTTGACCTCCTTTGAGAATATATAGTATTATTTTTTTAGTAAAATAGTAAAAACTAAAAAAGAATTTAATTGCAATTAATTTATAAAATAAGATAAAATTGACTAAATGATTGAATATACCAATCATATCTTCTGAAATAACAGTTTATGAAGAGAAAAATAAAAAAATTAGAAAGCAGTATAGATAATAGTGTTAACCTTTCTGATTAGCCAACATTACTCAAAGTTCCATGGAAAACAAAAGGTAAAAAGTAACCAACAAAATAAAGAAAAAAGAAAAGAAACTACAAGAATTTGGATAAATGAGAGAAAAGAACACTACTTTGTTTCATAGGCAAGGAAAAAATAAGCCTTTTTAACGTTTGGTTGTTACATTTATAAACTTACATGCTGAACTACACAAATATAAAAATCATGTACAAATATTAGATGTCATTTGGTGATTCGGCATCCAGTTGGAAATTTCTATTTAAACCAAACCTACAACTTCATACAAACCTATAACACAAAGAAATAACACTGTGCTACTAATGCATCTTCGTATACTGTTCCTTTTTCTTTCCTTTTTAGTTTTGTTTAATGTTTAATTGTTTGATCTAGGTCGATTTGAGCACCGGTTGGAAATGGTATTATACCTGAAAACGATAGGTTAGAATCTATAATTCATAACCCAAAGGTAGGAGACGCAAAGTTCGTTAAAGATTAACCTGAGCGTTTTCTGTTTTATATTTTTGAAGTTCATCTTGGGCACATATGAGCCTAAATATAACAACCAAAACCAATATCGTAAATGTTAGCATTTGAAACCGTCAATCGTTTGCGTGTACGTATGTTCGTACACGTAGGTGAAACAAAATTTTACCTCCATTGCAACTCGGTTATTTCATGAAGCAACTCCTTCTCCCTCTCATGAGATGCTTCCAGCTGCAATATAACAAAATCAATCTTTACTCACATTCAAGATCAATAAAAACTCATTGAGAATATTGACACCAAATCTCAATTTGAAAAAATTGAATATACATCAATGATAAGGATAGATAGAAATCCAAGAAGATGAGGATTTTTAAGCCAAAGAATCTCATAATCATCGCCATAAACTTATAACTTAAACGTACTCCTATGTTAAAAATGGAATTAGTTTATCTAGCAGCACTCATCTCATTGCAAACTAAACAAGCATCAAGATAACCAACAGGTTTTGACTAGCTTAGATTTTCCAACTCTATCATTAATTTAGAGATCTAGAGATTATGTCAAGGTGACACGAGTATAGCACGATACAAACACTATAGTTACACTCGGGATACAACACATTTCTCATGTTATGTCTTACTCATGTTCAAATTTCATATGCTTAAGCATGATACTCATTAGCACAACTATTTAGTAAAATCTATACTATAAAATTTGTAATCAATTAGTACTTCACTGTATTTGATTTTTTATTTCATACATGTGTACTTAAAACCCATATCTATCTCCTTGTAAATATGAAATCTCGGTTCTAGAATTACCGTTCTTTTTCTAGGGCTCACAATAATAACAGTTTATACACCACACAAGATGGAAGAATAAAAAAAAAAAGAGTCAACAAAACCTAAAAGTATATATACCAAGCAAGAAGGAAGAGAAGTGAGTCAACAAAACCTAAAGAAGTATAATTACATACCAAAGATCTTTCTCCTGAAGCCATATTTGTTGATGTTCCGCTTCCATCAACTGCACGATTAGCTGGGTAACAGAAAACAAGATGATATCACCTCACTTGAACAAAATGAGCAGATCTAATTTACATGAATTTTTTGTACCTGTTGAGTCTCCAACTGAGATTTGCTTCATTAGACCAAGAATACTCTCCTGTTGAGAATGACACAAAAAAAGGAAATAAAAGAAACATCAGTAACAATAAGAATGCACAAAAAGATGAAACATATATGGCTAACCCATACCCTTTGAAGAAGATTTGTCTGCAGTACAGAATTCAACAGCGGGAAAAGAGAATTGCCAGAAAGACTTGGTTGCATAACATCTGATGGTGTAGATAAAGTAGTTAAAGCAGGATGTTGAGTAAGCACCTACATAAGCAGTAAAATTCTATAAGACACTCAATATAATAAAGGTATAGATACATTATATTTGAGGCATATCATGAAAGGAATACTACACATTCAATGGCATGTGGTTATGAGATAATCCAACAATCAACATATATTCACATGCTATTATAATTAAACAACCACACTCCATTGGATATTAGACTTGAGACAATAAGGTGAGAAGTGTAGCATTACCTCCATAACACTGAATATTATTTAGCAGTAAATAACCTATACTTAGTTTGCTTCTTGCACATACAGCTAGTCTCAATTTGAATATAAATTCTAAAATAGCAAAATATTCCCTAGATAATAATATATTACCACACATATATAGGTTGATTGCCACTCTATTGGTGAATTAATTGACGAGGAAGCAAATTGTCACACCTTATTGGAAGACTAAAGATCAACTGATAGATATTTTCACCAAACATCTAGCTTGTACTTCTTTTACTATATTATTGAGCTCAATGGACCTGTTATATTTTATTATTAGAACTATTTTTTTATCTGATAGGGTTTCTAGTAGGAACTCACTCTCAAAGTGATAGGAATTGGGCTAGACAGTGGACCTTTGATAGGAATTGGGTTAGAAAGTGGTCATTTTGTGGGCTTGGATAGAACTTTCATTGGAAAACCGACTTGCCAAGGGAGGGTATCCAACTCCTTATAAACCAAATACCCACCATTTTTCCCTCTCAATGTGAGATCTTAACATTCTAACATGCTAGTGGAATCCTAACATTCTACCACGCTAGTGGGACATGCTTCGAGACCCAACGCCCTCGTTGGTCTTCTTTCCAGAGACCGCCCACCCTCATCGGCTACCCCACCCTCGTCGGCCTTACTTCCCTTCCTTTTGGTCTTACTTCGCTTACAAGCCTTATAAGCCTATCAGCAACTCTCCTTCTCGACCCCTTGGGAGGCCTATTGGGCCCTACTGCATGGGTTAGAAAGGTGGGGTTTGCTCTGATACCATTTGGTAGGAACCCACTCCCAAATTTATAGGGATTGGGCTGGACATTGAGCCTTTGATAAGAATTAGGTAGGGTAATGGGCCGTTTGTGGTCTTAGGTATAACTCTCCTTGGAAAACCAGCTTGCCAAAGGAGAGTGTCAAACTCCTTATAAACCACATGCCCACCCATTTTCACTCTCAATGTGGAATCCTAACAGTTTCTAATATATATATATATATATATATATAGTAAAGAGAATCAGTCAAGAACAAGCCAACTTCTCCATTTTCTTTTAATTTCTTCTCTTCATCCGTTGTTTTTCCTCTTTATTTTATTTAATATTTCACTATATCAAATAATAAATTAATTGTTATGAGACGTTATAGAGTTATTAATTACCTAAACTTAACCAAATTAAAAAGGAAAACAAAATAATAGCTTTGATAGAGAAGAAGTTTTCTTGCACAAATGTGGTTATCAACTGCTTTGGGCTAAGGCTTACAGAGAAGATAACTTCCAAAGGGCCATACCAAGATTTTGCTCTCCCCTTTTAGCAAAAGGTATTGTGCTTTTGATAAAGAGAAGAGAGTCAAGACCTTATAGAAGTGTGTGGTGCTGATGCTAACTTAGATGATTTAGCATGAAAGAAATAATGAGATGTTTGAATATGTTAAAAGTTTGAAGATACCAATGTGTATTATAGGTCACAGTGCCTTATTTCGCACTCTAATGGGCTTCAATTTTAGGAGTTTCAAGACTCTTGTTTCTTCTCTACTAACTTTAATCGGAACACGGACATTACTTTGCCTATACAAATGCTATATTTTATTTGTCTTTTCACACAACCTATACAAAGTTTTTGGACCTCTTTTTTGTATATACTTCACCTCCTCCTTATGGGGTGATTCAACACCTTAGAGGATATCCGATCCACTTTTGTAGTTCTCTTATTTTATAAATATGGTTTGTTTTTCTTTTTTTTTTTCTCTTTCCTTGTCAAAAAGATTTAGCTAAAAACTAAAGTCTACAATCTATTGAAGAGTCTTTTAAAAATCCATTAAGTGGACAAGCTATAAGTTCTTCGGCACAAATGTGCAGACCTCAGTACCTACCTGCAAACTGTGACTCTTTTGCAATGTAGGAGATGGTGCCACCTGAAAAGAGAAGATGAATTCATGTCCAAACTAAACAAGAGAAGGAACATCAGGATCAAAATCTTAAGTACCTTTTCCAAGTACACATTCTCAGATGTAACCTTAAAGCGTCCCTTTTGCTGAATAACTGGTGGTTTTGCTTTCTCATCAAGTTCATCATTGTTTGCTGCCATAGTGATAATTAAAATGAATAGGAAAGCAGACTTTGGATTCAAATATTGAGACCATATTAATCAT